GGCACATCGGAACGCAAGGGGGAAACACGCCAATCAGACGGCAACTAAACGGCACATGGGGAACACGCGATGACGGAACAGCCAAGCTCGCACTGTGATTAGTCGAGGTCGGGGGGACAACAAAAGCACGTGGACGCGTTTGGGGGTAAACAAACGCACGTGGCGTGCGCGAGGAGCGGGCGAACTGTCACGCCGCGCGTCTAAGACGCGATCACTAACGGCTTAAAGGGATACTTCAACAGTATTTGAAATATTCCCGTCGTGTTTAAAAATAGGTTGAATATGATCCACAATATCCGTAAATGACAATCGCACGTTTGTATTTTGAGCCTGGGTGGCTATATTTTTCGTTATAAACGGCCCACTCTGGCAAGCGCTCGGAGAAGGCCCAGCTTAGAGCACGTGACATCCAACGCAATCGTGACGTAGGTCGTCTCAAGACGATCAAAGCTACGGCGAGGCTGACGTCGAGAGGATGGCCTAGTCGTTCCAGCCACCGAAGCGGCTGCTTTTGTACGAATTTTGAGTGACAGGTTAATCTTCTGTAATCTTGTAGGGGGACAGTAGCGGCTTCTGCGACACACAAAAGGCATTCTTGGGAAGAGGGGAGTTCCTCCTTCCCCTCTTCTCTCGTCGTGGCCGGAGGCGAGACAACCTCCGTCACTAGCTGTCAAGGTTCCTAGACGGGCATTACAAGCGAGGCGTTAGCGACATCCACCAGGTGCTCTTTGCTAATCGTTTAATTCGTTTTAAAATTCCTTTTCGTGACTTTTTTAACAAGATATTGGTATGTTCAATGTGATGCAGCTCCTTTGAACACATATAGACCAAAAAAATGAGCGCCGAAATTTCGTTGTAGTATCCCTTTAAAGTGCCTCTGACACGCCAAAACTTTTTTTTCTTTTTCATGCTAGGCGTTGAAAGGGCATGTCAGGACATTACAAAAAAAATTGTTTCACTATAGAGTTGCGTAGTTTTTTTTTTATAAAAAAAAAAAAAGAAATACGAGGCCCAATTCAAAGTTCCCGCCAGTGCACTGTGACGTAACGGTGTACCGCAAGGTGTCGGGGCGGTCAGAAGGGAGGCATTGACCTACGTCACTAAAAGTTGGTTCGCAGGAAGTCACGTGAGTTTCACTCCTCGTGCTCTCCGCGACCGTGCCTAAGAGTTTTTTTGTGTTTTTTTTCCTGCTCTTTGTACGAGCGACTGTAGAAAACGAAGTTTCAGTTCCACTAGCTCTTTATCGCTGCACCGTTAGTTAGTTTCCGTGCTGTAAAAGTTGAGGACGAAGAGTCAGTGGATCGACGTGATGGAGGACAATGATGAAAGCGTTGCGAGTACAAGCCAGTGTACGAGTGCTTTTCATCAGTCCGATGGTACAGAGCTATACTGGGCACAAAACAAGCTATCAAGCTAAAAAAAAAAAAAAATTAGAACGCTCGCAGAACTTAGGATTGCTAGCGTACGACACGCCCAATTGCATTGCTGAAGTTTCGGACACCCAAGTCGTCGAATCATTGTATACTCTCCAGGCTGAAGATGCCTGCCGTCTCTCGGAAATGCATGCAGTGTGATCTCTTCTTCAGTTGCTGAAATACAGGGACACAGCACCTTCTAGGCATTGTAGTTGATCACGTCAATTGACTGACTCCTCTTCTCCTACCTTTACAGCAACATGAAAAGCAAATAAAAGAAAGCTTGTCTGCTTGGATCGCTCGTGGAGGTGCGGAGAATGACAAAAATATTTTAGAAAATATTACACGCGCTCGCGGTAAGCACGAGGAGGGATGCAACTCACGTGACTTTTGGCGATGCCTCCCTTCCGACCGCCCCGACACCTTGCGGTACACTGTTACGTCACAGTGCACTGGCGGGAACTTTGAATTGGGCCTGGTATTTCTATTTTTTATCAAAAAAGCTACGCACCTCTATAGTGAAACAATTTTTTTGTAATGTCCTGACATGCCATTTCAACGCCTATACATCGTCTCACCCTACGATGGACTTGATGTGACTCAATATTATATATATTACAATTTAATCGGGGAGACGGCAGTGAGCGTTGTAGTCATCCTAACCCGTGTCTCCTCGTGATGATCATTGTCCCGAGGGCTCGAGGAAGATGTTTTCTTCTTCTTCCGCAGCCACCACAGATACTCCCCTCGGTAGAAACGACACATACATTGCAACTAGATGTTTTGGCACTGGACACTGCCATAAGGAATACGTACAATTATTTACACCGCTAGGAAAATTGTTAAGTGTTAATCCCAATGCACATGCAAGTTGCGTTTCACCGAATGCGATGGTTGTAACCGACTTGCGGGTTTGTTTGTGTTAAAGTATTGTTTGTAGCTGCATTCGTCTGTATAAGCAGGTTTCAATCTATCAGCTGAGATGGTTTCATGACGGTCGCCCATGTCAATGGTGAAGAACTTCGATTTTCGGTTGAGGACCTTGAACGGACCTTGGTATGATCATTGTCGCGAGTGCTCGAGAAAGGAGTTTTCTTCTTCGTCCGCAGCCACCACAGATTAAAGGCAGAAGCTACAGACCGCCAGATTCAATCACGAGCCACTTACAAGTTGCGTGGTATTTCGCTTCGATGCGCGTATCGGCACCCGCGTCTCGAATCACTAATGGGGAGGGGCGGACGGTAGTTTGGATTGAATAGCACTGAGTGACTCAACAATTTTACATTGCAAAGAAAGCTATGTCATCCAGGCTCTTTGCAGTGTCGAAGCTATAAAAAGATGCAGCGCTTTTGGACTGGGAGGATCATTCGTCCACCCCTAACCAATGCTAAGCGTGTCATATTTTAGCCTGCAACGTGATTGGACCTTGCGGCCCGTGGCTTTGGCCTTTAGTCCATCGTAGGATGAGACAAAGTATAGCATGAAAAAATATATATATATTTTTTTTTTTGCGGCGTGTCAGAGGTCTTTTAAGAAGTGAAGGGCGTGGTCATCAGGGGTCCCGTGCATCTCATTATTGCTTACTGGTTGGCAGCCAATGAGATTGTTAAGATCGCCGAAGGACCATTGAAGAAGCGGTACCATAATAAATTACGCCCTGCGTTTTCTTTTTTTTTTTTTTAAGTTGTCGGCGATTGTAGGAATTTGTCGACGGTTGGAACTGCGCTGCTTCGACGTGAAACTGGACAATCACGTAAACAACGTGCAGACCAAATATTTCCGTAAAAATATTTTTTTCCTTTCTCGCCAATTTCTTTTTCTTGTTTTTAACTTTCATATGTTGTTGTTTTGTTTAGTTTTTTAAGATTGTTTGTAGCCTGAATAACTCGCTTCGCGGGTGAACGCTGAATGCACATCTCTTGCCCGCTATTGTAAACAGCCGACAAAAAAAAAAAAAAATATATATATATATATATATATATATATATATATATATATATATATATATATATATATACCGTGTCTTTTTTTCTTAGCTTAACGGATTTGTTTAGAAGAAGCCGTGAAAGTTACACTTACGAGGTTTCTGCAGGTGAGTTATACGGCCAGGGGGACTGAGTATAGGGGGCTAAACGTAACGATCAGTCGACTAAATAATTAAAATTCGTTAATTAAATTTTTTATTTAACGAAAATAGACATATGGTTCCAATTAGAAACTTGCTGAGCGTCATCCATCATCGTCATCGAAGTACATAAAGCAGGTGCAGCATTTTACGGTGTTCTAAGGAAGCACTCTTAGGTTTCGATTTCTTATCGGAGCAGATCTTTGCGCCCGCGGTCCTGCCCCCCAGTGGTCGCGGCGCAAGACCACCCCCTCGCCTCCCTCGTAGCATGGAGGGAAGTTGGGCGCACGCGTGTTGCGCGTTTCAGCCACTGGGGAGCAGGACCGCGGGCGCAGAGATGCGCTCCGATAAGAAATTGAAACCTGGAAACGCGTCCAAATTGGGTGTTTTTACGGAACGCCGTAATATACTGCCCTTGCGTTATACCCTTCTAAAAAGAGTTGATTTAGTGGTTTTGATGATGGTGAGCAAGTTTCTAATTGGAAGCATATGTGTATTTTCATTAATTGAAAAGTGAATTAACGATTTTTAATTAATTAGCCGAGTGATCGTTACGATTATCCTCTTATACTATGTCCCCATGGCCGTATAAGTCACCTGCACAAACCGCATAAGTGTAACCTTCACGGCTTTTTTAAACAAGTCTGCTAGGTTAAAAAACATATATATGTTTTTTTAACCTAGCAGATATATGTTTAAAAAAGCCGTGAGGCCCCTTTCTTATTTCTATTCATTTTTTTATTTTTAATTCGTTATTCTATTTTTCATTCAACAAGCTATTTTTGTGAGTTCTTGTGTTTTAACTTTGACTTTTATTCCGTCCTTTTTCAAGTTTTTTTCCCGCGTAACTAGCGTTCTTGTGCCTAGTTTCTATTATTCTTGTAAAGTAATACAACTTTTTTGCGGCACTTCACCCTTTTTTCTTGTGTGACTTTTTTCGCCATTAAATTATAATTTTATTTTTATCATCCTACGGCTGCTGTGTCCGCGCACCTTACTTTTGCCTATATGTCAACGGTTGTAAACATTCGCCGCTTTATATATATTTATATATATATATATATATATATATATATATATATATATATATATATATATATATATTCACTTAAAACCTATAACATATACACCCAGAACTACCCCAAAATCTACTTTTTGACCGGGTATAGTACGTCACGTAGCTTCATTTGGTTTGAATTTTACTGATTGTTTATTAGTAATGGGTTCAGACAAGCACATAGGACCAATGGAATTCGTCTCCAATTTTACTATATTTAATCAATTTTAATAAGTTCGTTCGTCTCGTTTTATGTTAGCGAAACAATTATATATATATATATTTTTTTTTTAATGTGGTGTCATCCTGTAGCGCTACTACAGATCCTCTGTCTCGTCTCACGCCATTGATACCTCGCGGGTGCATCTGGCGTTAATGAACTTGAACTTTTTCGTGCTTGCAGATCCGCTGGTCAAGCTTCTCAACCCAGGGCCACGTGAAGACAGCGTCGGACCGTCGCGGTGAGTAAATCTCTTCGCGGCGAAAGCAGAGAGTTCGGGTCACCGTAGAACCGCTTCAAAACCATCGACGTCTAAACGGAAATCGACGCTGATGCTCACTCCGTAAAAGTATATTATGTCCCAGACGATTGCTCAGGAAGCTCCTTCCCCTCTTACCACAAGGCACGTAAATATATTTCCACTTTATAACAGTCAATGTAAGAAGGAAAAAAAAAAACGGCACTTCAATTATTTTACAAAAATACGCGCGAACAAAAAAAAAAGTGAATTCTTAATGGTATTTGTGGACCGTCACCCTGAAACTTGGAACGCGGTTGAACTCCCGGCTCGCATTCCGAGCGTGAAGACTCTACGGGCTGTTGGAAGTTTCATTTCCCGAAAACTCGGGCGAAACACCACCTCCCCCTTCGCCTTATCATAAACGACGATGGGGAAAAAGAGGAGGAGGGGGGAACACTTTATTACAGGCTATAGGCTCTAGCTAGACTTCTTCCCTAAACGACTCTTCGTTAGGAACGTGCACCCCGTCTCAAGTCCTTATACTTGGCATTTTGTTATTCCAGAATCTCATCTTTCCGCCACCCTGCGGGCCTCCCTTTTCTCCCCTTTCTCGCGTACACACACCTCCACACGAAGAACTGTATGGGTGTAGCGCGCACACCCACGCGCACACCACACACAGACACTCGCGCACACACTCGCATACACACCGCAAACGCACGCACGAACACGCACGCACGCACGCACACACGCGTCCTCACGCGGTACTCCCCTTCTTTCCCCAATTCACTTTCTCGGTCATTTTCCGCGCATATTCGGGAAGACCGCTTTACCCCTCCCCCTGGCGTCCCCACACTTTTCAAGACTACCGCCACGGCAGCAGCAGCGCGAAAAAGCTCGCCCGCTTGGGAGCGTTTTGTTAATTGCAGAAAACAAGTTAATTACCGACTCTCGACTTACTTAGAAACGCTTTTCCAACCCCGCCTCTCTCCCTTCCTCCGTACTTCACCTTTTCCCCGGCTTTCACTCCAAGCGCGGGAAAAGTGGGGAACGCGGGCGCGCTTGGGGAAAATTACGGGAAACGGCGCCTAGTTTGCATTGTTTTAGTCGGCCCAAACTACCGACGACGGAAAACTGGCGCGGGAGAAACTCTAGCGCGTGGTTCTAGCAGCGCTCCGGCGGCCCGTCTTTAATAATAACTCGCGCCGCTTTTGCATGGTCGGCGAAACAGGGCGCAGGTAGAAAGGTGGTCTATACACGTGTTACTGTTGCGCGCGCAGTAGTTCAATTTTATACGCTTCTCTGCCCTTCCCCGTCGTCCTTAACTAGCACCGAAATCAGCGGCGCTTGGCTTAACGCCATTCACGTGACTGGCTGGAACTTTGTGCTGTAAGAGTGGGCCGTGGCGAAAGGGTAGGAGTTGGCGGGTAAGTGGCGCCGCTTCCCGGCGGCTGTCGGAACCTCACCACCTTAGGGATTCATGTTTGTTTCTGGGAAAAGGAACAGGTAATAATGACGACTACTAGATCCGGTACAGGCTTTCTTGACTATTAAAAAGAAAAAGTATAGAAGCGATGAAAAAGTTTCGAAAAATGAGAGCGTGTCTTGGACATCGGTTTGCAGCTCCGGATTTCTTTCTTCTTTTTTAATAAAAAAAAAATATATAATTTTTTGTGCCACGTCGTTCCGATGATTTCTGGGTTTTTGACGCATTAACAACAATTTTGTACTCTAATGGGAGGTAAATTGCTAACAAAATATAACTGCAGTGATTTTTGTTTTAATAATGCACGCGATAACGTACACATTCTAAGCTCAAATTAATGACGTCGTGCGCTTTTAAAAAGAAACGTTTTGTTAGATTATGGCATAAAGCCCCGCTAACTTTTGAGGCAAACTATAACTGGTAAATCTTCCGTGACACCACTAAAGCTGTAGTTGACAGAACACGTTACCGTAACCTTACCGAAATATACGGTGGTAATAAATGTGCAGCATATAATTACAAGGCTGAAACCGTAAATGAGGCCCACCGTATCTTAACCATTGAGCATTCTCACGATATAAATATTTTACTGAGGTATATGGTAAGTGAACCATAAAGTAACAGTTGTAGTGTTCATGTCGTAATTTTCATGAACCAGTGTACAAAATTAGAAATACAAGCAATGTAACTACTGGGGCCTTTAAGAAAAATAATATAACTAATCAATCACAAATATTTTATCACGTTTACTCTAATTATTAATAAATTGTCCTAAATACCGAGAAAAATTTGAGATTTCCAGAGTGAGCCGAGTGCAGTGTGTGATTGCTGCGCCATTTGCTCCAAGCTGCGCCAAAGTGCTTCCTCTTCTACATCCTGCAACATTTCGCCAAAATGCGAGGAACTTGCACCCACCTTGAGTTAAACCTTAATTTCACTTTATCGCTACTAAAATTATAGCGCAGACCCTGCTGCATTGCCGGATTGATATAAAGCTTGTGCGAATCTTCAGAGCTTTCAGTGATCGGCTTAAATAACTTACTACTTGATTTGACCTCTCTATCAAACACTGAAAGCACTCGGAAGTTTCGCAATATTTCTGATGATCGTGGTCCGTTCTGGCGGGTTATTTAGCTTCGTTGAGTTCGCTCCTTACCGTGTACTGATGCACTGCAGTGAAGCAACAACGGCGAACAGGCACCATGATTTTTCGTGCCTTGCTTAGCCCCAGCGCAACTGTGTGCCGGAGGGAAAGCAGTCCTCTCGAGCAGACCAGACGTAGCAACACCTCCTAGAAGACAAGGCCGTAGTGCTCTTCTCGTGACGTCGCAAAGGAAGGCCATCGGGGGCGCGCGTCGAAGCGAAGGCAACGCGCCTGGATCGACCGTCGTAACGCGCTTTTAGTCACATGCGCGTGTCTTATTAGCGAAAATGAAAGCCGCACATAGCAATGGGCCGAGAAAACATTTCATTACACGGGCAAAAAATTACACCGCTAAATAATCGGTACAAAATGGCACGAGGTATGCGTATAAGACGTCTATAGAAAAATGTAATTGTTTAAAGTCGGAAACATTGAGTCGCGCGATTATTACTGTAGGAATGCATATTTTATACAGAAATGCTTCGAAAAAATGGCGAGACACGCTGTGATTGGACACAACAAAACAGATCGGTTAAAATCAGGTAGGCGTAGTCAACGCGGACACGGCCGAATCAAGCTCTTCCACCCGCGCACACCTCTCCAGTGACCACCTTCGGCCAGGATAGCTTTAGCGGAGGGGAATGTGTGGCCATGGCTGGGCTGGATACGCGTTCGCTCTCTTACCGCTCATTCACACTGGAAGCGGATCCGCGTTCACAAAGCGGTTGCGAAGGCGGTTGTATAAAGATCCAGTGCAATTGCACGCGCACTCGATGTCATCGAGTGCGCGTGACATTGTACTGGATCGTTATACAACCGCGTTCGCAACCGCTTGGCGAACGCGGATCCGCTTCCAGTGTGAATGAGCGGTTACGGTTCTTCTAGTGAGGCGTGGAGGATCGGTGGCCGAGTGGGCTACGCACACCAGCTCGGAGCACGTTGAGCGAAAGCTCGCGCTGCAGAACCCAGGCATCCCTATGTTGCGCTTTTTGGGCTCCCAGGGCGACCACGGAAAGGGAAGTGACGTCAACAACGCTCTTTGGATGTTGATTAGTGGAGTCGCTGATGACGAATTTCTGCAGAAGAAAACAAAGAAAAAGTGAGCGATAATCGGTAAGCCGAAAGATGCGTGGTATCGTTGTTCACTCACACCTACGTCACCTTCTTCTTCCTAGTAGCCGTGGGAGTACGAAAAGCGCAACATAGGGCCCTGGGTTCAACCCCCAACCCTGCCTAAAGTTCCTTGACAAAATTCAAGCTTACAAATACCGCCAACCATTGTTGTGGAAACGCGCAAGACACGTGCCACGAGCGGTTGCTCAACCGCCATTCGCTTCCAAAGGCGCAACTGCCGATCGTCATGATTCAAAAGTGAGACTTCCTCAGCACTAGATTCGGTGTTAGGAAGCTCATACAATAATGTCACGCGCGTGGTCGAGTGGTTACCGTGCTTGACTTTCGTGCGGAGGCCCCGGGTTTGATTCCTGAGAGCAACACGTCTTTTATTTATTCTTTCAATTTAGTGTTCTCTTAAGTTTGAGAACCTTTTCGTCTGATTGAGGTACGAATGGTAAACGTGCCGAACGTTCTACGCCGAATGTTCCAGAGACCCACGGGGTAGATGGGGACTCCGCAAGGCGAGCCCAATCAGTCCAACACCACCTAGACAGGAGGCTTCCGCCTGGTCTCCTCTCCCTCTATGAAACGTCATCGGACGTTTCTGTGTGATGTCACTTCCGTGACCAAGTTTTCGTGACAATAGACCTCCCAACTTTGCACCCCCTTCCAAGCACGGAGAAAGACGGAGCTCTATGTCATAAAATATCTTAAAGCTCACCCATGCATTGCAACGATGGTATGACCGTGCGGGCTGACAGCACGAAGCTTCTTCGTGACTTCTGTTGTCGCCCGAGAGCTTACAGAGCACAAAAGTTTGATTTTATATATTGAGTAGACAAAGTATAACTGAGTACAAATATTTACCGTTGGTTTGCATTAATTGGAACACTTTCTCATTATGCTTGCCAGCAACCTGGTAATAAATGATGATCAACACGCGGCAATGCACATGCTCGTACACTTCGCCTTCATTAGCCTTCAGCGCCGCTCACACACTTGCAAACGTGTAGGACCGCGAGAGACACGACCAATTTTTAAGCCTCTTGCGACGGCGTAGGACGGGATGCGCTGCTGCGGAGCAGGTACTACGCAGTCTCAAGAGGATTAAAAACCGGTGTTGTCTCTCGCGGTCCTACTCAGTTGCGAGTGTGTGAACGGCGCTTTCAGCTAAATATTATTTGTGTTCTCTGTGTCCCCTTGTGTAATGCCCAATGGGGTCTCAAGGGTGAATAAATTAATAAATGAAATGAACGAGACAATGTCAGTCTTTTACTATGTCCTTGTGTTTTGCTGCCTGTACTTTTACAAGTATATGTAGCGTGCAGCCGGACGCAAAAACATAGTCATAATAAGCGTGTCAACCAATATAGTCGTTTTGTATATCTGTCCCTGGTACTACTGCTGCAACACGTTTCTCGTGTTTTGTTCTTTTTCATGCCCGCTGACCGTACAGCCTGCAAGGACTCTTGGGCCACCGTGTGCAGAACAGAGACAACATTGAAAAGGTAAACACAGTACGCTTTACGCGTTCATTGCTTACAAGATTCGTGGATGATGATGAATAAAAAAATATGTCGGTTGCCCACAAGTTTGCTCTAGATCCACTAGATGAGCTCTGCGTAAAACAGAGCCGTGTAAAGAGAGAGTTTGGTCGACGAGAGGAAAGAGCAAAGCCAGGGCGTGCACCAGACGCAGATAGAGGGCTTGATATGCTCTCTTGGCCAACCAGAAGCCGAAAATAATTCCCTAGCGGTAATAGCGAGAAACAGTTTTAATAAGTGCGTAAGAGTTCAATGTAGTAACTCTTCGTGGTTGAAAATATGGTGCACGTGATGTTTCGATTATGATCATGCAAAAAGATGTAAGAAAGAAAGGTGCCGCTCGAACTCTATTGCTCGGACGAAGTCTGACCGCTCGGACGGCACATGTCGGGCCTTCGGCGCCTGGAGTACGGATTATGTCAGTCGTTCTGCTAGTCGCGCACGCTTTTCATATCTTCTATATCTTTATATATCTTTCACCATTTTGTATGACCGCAATCGAAACATCAGGTACACCATATTTTGAGTTACCGAGGGTTACTTCGACCCACTTATTGATTTCACTGATCGCGACCACCGCCAGGGTATTATTCGCGGCTTCTGGTTGGCCACATTCAAATTTGTGAACACGCCCTGGAACACGCCTAGCCCCTTTCAGACAATAGCACCCCCTCATCTGCCTCCTATACTTAGCAACGAATGGCCAAACTCTTTCCATATACGACTCTGGCGTAAAGTATCGGCACTCGATTCCCTGATTCTCCTACGGGCTCCGCCATTTTGCTGCTTAGTGTAGAGCGGGCGCCATTGGTAATCGCTACGATTTTGAAAATGGCACTTCCTCCCAAGTTTTTGGTAGGAAAATAGAAGATTCAGATTTTTTTTTACAGTGTATATACACCTTGTATGAATTGTATAAGTTTTTATATGTTTATTGCAATAAAAAATGGGTAAAGAGGACATTTAAGCAACTCTTATGAGTTGTGATTGCGAAAGCATGAATCTCGTTCTACCACACCCTTAGTTCGTCTGCGGCGTATGCGACGTAGTGGCGCGGCCGGCGCCACGTTTCCCAGGCGGACGGCCGAGCGCGCGCTCTCGTGAAGTGGCCGCGCCATACACCCTCCCTGGAGTTTGCCCGAGCGGGGTTTGACCGCCCGTCCCGCATCGCCGCACCGCTCTTACCGGCGGCCGGGCTGCTGCGTGCGCTGCGCCGCCATGGAGAGGGCTTCTCTGGTGGCGTTTTATGGAACTACGCCGCACGAGAGCCAATGGGAGCCTCGTTCCTTGATGACGCGTGCCAGCCAATGGGAGCAAAGTTTATCAGAAATCGGCTTCACTTGGCTCCATTGGGAAATGGGATTTCAGGTGCCGTTTGGCCAACGTTTGGCGTGGTTTCAAGGCTAATGAGATCGGTTCGCTCCATGGGACAGTTAATGCATTAGAAATATGTAAGAATTTGTTTTTAATATGCAAGAGGCGTACAAATTCTGCTCACCTTAGCTGGATGTATCAGGGCAAACAGGAATACTAAATTGTGGGTGTCGTCAATCGTGCTTTACTTTTAACACAGAAAATGTTTTAGCAGCCGGATTTCATAAAAGAACCGTCACGAATAAGCGTCACGAAGGGCCGTCACGTTAATTTCCCCGCTAAATTTGGCTGGGAAATTAATGGCACGTGACGTCAATATGCCCCGCGAAATTTAGCGAGGAAATTGACGTCACGTTACTACGTCAAGTGACCTCAAATCGCGTGACGTCAATTTCTGTGTGGTGGTAGTTTGCGCTCAACGCACTGTTTTCCCTGGTCTTTGTAAGCATAATCGAGCTTGTTTGTTTGTTTGTTTTCCTCGCCTTTAGGAGTACCGGGACATCTCGACCATGTGCACCACGGCCCAGATGGAAATCCTGGAACTGGAGCTGCGCGCACGAGCCATCCGGTCCCTGATGCAGGCGCAGGGCCAGAAGGCCACGTCATCGTCGTCACCATCATCGTCGAAGAAGCAACAGTGACCACCGACATCGCCCACACCCGAAACCATGAAGACCCCGACGGAAGCAAGACTTACGAAACACAAGACGCCCTAAAATTCCATATCGCGTGCTTCTTTTCTTATTTGTTTATGTCTATAGGCGTTATTAGAGAGCTTTCGTCGCTGCAGTTCATCTGTAAAAAAAACTTCAAGGAATCGTTTTTTTTTTTCCTTTGATGTCATCTTTGCGCGCGCTTTGTCTCTTTTTCTAAGTTCATTAAATCCCGGATTTTCTGCGTGATAAAACTAGGTTGGCTATGCTGCTCATTACGGTAAAACTCTTGGTTGTGGGGCGTACAGGACACTACTGCATTTTTTTAATCTGTGCGCGAATGTGATTTGATCGGTATGCTGCGAATAGGCAGGCGGGTGTCTTACTAGGGGGTTTCCGCTGTAGTTTCAATGAATCACTTTTTTTCGCTTCTTGGTAATGATATTGGATACTCCGCCGAAGCCTTTGCGCGTGCCTCGTATTGGTATCGTTATCGGAGCGCTCAAACGATCTACTAAAATTCCCTAATGCCTAGTATTTTTTTGTTATGGTTACGTGGCCGTGTCTATCCTTTTTAAAACTGCAGCTTGTGAGCTGTGAAGTAAGCTGTGAAGAAGTCAATAACGTGTCTATTCGTACTTCTGTTATCTTCGCCCGTGTCTAAATCATGAAATAATTAGATACATCACTCTCTCCCTTTTACTCTAATATCACCGAAGCATGTAACGAGTTATTGAGTGCTACTCTGGTGGGTCCAAGCTACTCCGACATGTAATAACACGTGACAACAGAGACGAAGCAGTGCTGAGCGGGAGTAGGTTTCCGAACGCTGAGGGACGAAACCTTGACTCTGGAATGAGACTCGGTAAATTTTGGAACGCGGCGTCGACATGTGTTCAACTGGTTATAAGTATCAATATTTGTACCCTGTTTCATCTGTTCGTTTCTTTTTTGTGTGTGTGTGTGTGTGTTTTTTTTTTACTTGTGGGGCTAGAGCGCATTGAATTTTTGGTCGTTCTATATATTAGCGTGTGGGTCTTTGGTGTCAAGATGGGTCTTTGTGTCAAGTTGTGTCTTTGAAGGCATTTCGTCGAATAAAAGTTTCATACTCATTTCACTGAAGCCTTTTATCCTAACGAGGTAGAAGTATGGAATGGTCACCCTGCTACTCTCCGCAGCGCCCTGTGTCCATGGGAGTATAGGAATAGTGTGCGTTTTCAGTCTAGCTATGGTACCGCGCATCATGTTATTGACCTAGAGTTTGAACGAACAATGCTGAGCGACATAGACCAGTTAGTCGGTCAGTCTGCCCCATCATCTGTGCTCCGTTTCAACATAACTTGGTACAGAGCAAGGGCTATGGCTCCCTCCAGCCAATCAGAGCGACGGAGAAAAGCACGTGACTGCAGCTCTCCGTTGGAGGAGTGCACACCAACGAGGCGTTGTCACGTGCTTTGCTCAATCTAACACGCTGAGGCCTTAGTTATTACCATCTGCCAAGTTGTGCTGAAAGGGAGTATAAATAGTGTCGTCGTTTTACTACGCAGACCACAGTGAATTCTTGACCATTATCGCGCATTTATGCGATAAGACAGTTGAGACTGTTTATCGGTTTGACAGTAATGTCAGATTATCTTACGAAATAGATTTATATCACGCAAAACAAAGAACATCCTAGCTTTTGTGGCTCGCTGTTGACATCCTAATTGTGTCTGAATCGAAAAGCTGTCTGCGGCATTCCGTTGATTTTGGGAACCGCTCATTGAATTTGCGATAATTACCCTTCTAGAACGCGGCCTTTCATGTTGACATTTATATTTTGGATAAGCCTCGGATTTCCCTCCTCCTAATGTGCCTGCATGAAGTAATGCGCCAAAAACTAGAGTAAATAGTAGGTTAATAGACTGTGGAACCTGAGTACTGGATTGCGATCTAAACCCGATTAGTCCGAAACAAGGGAAAGAAATCCCTATCAATCAAAACTCAACTAGAATTGGACGGCTTGCATCGTCTCCTTTGGCAACACTGGGTGCGGGCGCTCCCTCGCTGCTGGTTCACGTCGGCTCCGCAAATTTCCAGGGTTTGTTCGCAGAAACAAGTATTTTTCCAGCTGAACAAGCACTGTAACATTGCCATGGACTTCCACCGGACATCCCACATCCAGTTTTTAGAGCGCAGCTCTTGGGGGTCCGTTTCCGGGTTGAGTGGCGTCAACGTCGGCGTAACCGCGCTCGTTGCATTATGGGACGTCACGGTTTCCCCGCTAAATTTAGCGGGGAAACTGAATTGGTGTGTGAGGTCACGTGATGTCAATTTCCCCGGTAAGTTTAGCGGGGAAAATTAATCCACTTAGAGGGAAAATTTCCCCGATAAATTTAGCGGGAAAATTTTTGCTAAATTTCCTGCTAAATTTAGCGGGGAAATTTTCGCTAAATTTCCCGCTACATTTAGCAAGAAAATTTCCCCGCTAGCTGAAAAATTTTTACTAAATTTAGCGAGAAATATAGCTAAAATTTTCCGCTAAATTAAGGGGAAGGAGGAGAGGAAGAATTGGAGAGTACGGAAGGGGAGGAAGGGCACACCCTCCCCTCCGTACCCTCCCCTCCTCCTCCTCTAGAGCTGTGCTCTAATTTCACATTATAGAAAATTGTAAACATTTTTTTTTTTAGCCTTATGATTGTTTTTGTTTTAATTTTACGACGTGTTTACTTGACTTTGCTATCAGGAAATGATGGACCGGCACTCTGTTGCCACCACCCAAAGGCACCTGAGGCACCTGAGGTCATTGCCGCAAAATGTACAGGGTGTCACAAATGAAAATTTACACGGTCTTTTTTACCGCAAAAATAAACTAGGCATCGCCGAACGCTCATTCTCCGTCCAAAGGTAGAGCTAGAGGTCACAACCAGATGCCAAAGTTTCAGCCCGATCCGATTACTTAATCAAAAGTTATAACTGATTTTCTGAAAATTTCAATGGGAAAATGGAGCCCATTTTTGCCTGTTTTCGGTTTCTGGTGCCATAGAGCCCCATGTGTTCGAAAACTCCGGCGGCCACCATTTTTCCATTGAAATTTTCAGAAAATCATTTATAACTTTTGATTAAGTTATCAAATCGGGCTGAAACTTTGGCATCTGGTTGTGACCTCTAGCTCTACCTTTGGGCGGAGAATGAACGTTCGGCGATGCCTAGTTTATTTTTGCGGTAAAAAAGACCGTGTAAATTTTCTTTTGTGACACCCTGTACACTAATAATCTTACCGAATTCGGAAAGCTATCTAGGAGCCGTTCCGCTCAGCCAATAGGTGAAGAAGCCTTTCTTTCGCGTGTTTTCGCGGTTGCAGATGCTGCCGGGTCCGCTCCATGGGATAGCTATTGCCTTCGCATTAATAAAAGTAGCAGAAGTGACTTTATCGTTGGTGTAAGATGGGCCTTTCCTTCGCCTCCACCGAACCAGCCAGCCGGAGGGTTCTTCGTGGTTTGGTTGCCGAAGGAAAAAAACGATGCATTTGGGGTTTAAAACGTGTCCGTCTTGATAAAATTACACCAAGCTAATATGAGATGCACCCGTATAAAGCTTAACTTGACACATGAAGGGGAAAATTAGTAATGTTCCACCAGGAGCGCGTACTTTCTTTTACTACTGTTCTTGAGGTAAACACGAGTATAGAAGCTGGGTTGCATCGCTTCACTGAAGAGAGACGATTTCACGTTCGCAGGAACAACTGCTTGGTTCTGATGATTATCGAAACAGCGACTACCGCCAGAATTTGTCTCTTGCGCCAGAGTCCCACAAGAGCGACGAACAAACATTCGACACCGGCAGACCTCAAAAACACACATATCATGCACGCGAAGGTATCCACGGGTAGGCATGTGATGACTCGGTGCTCGTGGACCAAGCACGAGTAATTGCAAACCTGGACACGGGTTTGCAATCAATCTCTCTGGCGGTCTTACTTTTATTGCGCGCCAAGATCGTCAAGTCATGGAATACAGGTACGCAGCCGCACCTACTGCAATGTACCGCTAAGTGGCCAGCGGGGGAGGAGCTGTGTTTCGCAAGAAAGTCCCTTTTGAAAACCATGCTGCTGTTTAAAGAAAAAAGAATGTGATGATACGTGCCTCATGATATTGGAGTAGAGGATATGCTCAAATAGTTTGCACGAAATGGAAGTCAAAGAAATAGGGCGATAATTAGATGCGGAAGAGCGACTGCCCTGTTTAAAGGGATACTACAACGAAATTTCGGCGCTCATTTTTTGGTCTATGTGTGTTCAAAAGAGCAGTATCACATGGAACATACCAATATCTTGTTAAAAAAGTCTCGAAAAGGAATTTTAAAACGAATTAAACGATTAGCAAAGAGCACCTGGTGGATGTCGCTAACGCCTCGTTTGTAATGCTCGTCTAGGAACCTTGACAGCTAGTGACGGAGGTTGTCTCGTCTCCGGCCACAACGAGAGAAGGGGGGAAGGAGAAACTCCCCTCTTCTCGAGAATCCCTTTTGTGTGTCGCAAAAGTCGCTATTGTCCCCCTAGGAGATTGTAGGAGATTAACCCGTCACTCAAAATTCATACAAAAGCAGCCGCTTCGGTGGCTGGAAAGACTAGGCCATCCTCTCGACGTCAGCCTCGCCGTAGCTTTGCTCGTCTTGAGACGACCTACGTCACGATTGCGTGGATGTCACGTGCTTTAAGCTGGGCCTTCTCCGAGCGCTTGCCAGAGTGGGCCGTCTATAACAAAAAATACAGCCACCAGGATCAAAATACAAACGTGCGATTGTCATTTACGGATATTGTGGATCATATTCAACCTATTTTTGAACACGACGGGAATATTTCAAATTTCGTTGAAGTAACCCTTTAAAGACTGGGATAACCCTTCCCACCTTCCTGTCAAATGGAAGGCAGCTTTGAGGTAAGGATCGATTAAAGGTGAGTTTCAAATACTCACTAAAAATAACACTGTTTTTTTTTTTTTTTTTTTTTTTTTTTTTTTTAGAGTTGATGTTGTCGGTTTTAGCCAACGCTACTAAAACCGTGAGTTGGGTTTGCCCTTGGTATCTCTTGGGCGCCGCTGGTCAGTGTTTGCCTTGCCCAGTGGTGGCTGTTTCAGGGGGGGGGGGGGCAAAACACGTACATGCCTTGCCCACCCCCCCCCCCACACACACACACACACACCCTGAGAACTGGGGGGACAAGCGCCCCCTTGCCCCCCTTGCCCCCCCCCCCCCCCCCCCCCGGTTAGTACGCCCGTGCTCTTTGTCAAATTTCAATGAAACGTGCGAGTGGGAGTTATCCTAGGGGCCCTAATCAGGAAACTTGGCAAAACAAGTCGGCGAGGAATTCGACCGCCATAATTCGTCGGCGCCAAGGACAAGCGCGGCGCCGGCCAATCTGATCTCCGATTTCCTCGCCGACTTTTCCGCCGTGTCCAGATTAGAGCCTCAGGTAATCGCCAATATGGCCCCTCTCAATTCTCCTCCTTCTCAATCACGTGAGGTTTGTGGGTTTGTAGAACGGTTGAAAACTGGGCTAGTTGGTTTTGGTAGATATTCATCCTGGGCGCACAAAAGACAAGGACACGCGTTCAAGAGTACTTGCCTCTCGTGTTTGTTTTCTATTTTGTCCCTAGTCATTTGTGCACTTTTTAACCACAATGGGTTTGCGGTGGTCAGGAGGGAGGGGGGTGCGACTCATATGCCCGCATTCCCTCCTTAGTAAGGGAACTGGAGAGAACCAGAAAACGCAGAGCAATGTGAACGAGGATGAAAATGCAGAACTGAGCAAAATATCCCTGCAGGATAGAGTGCCTCAATGTTGTTGGCGGCGCAGCGGCCAACAACATTGAGGCACTCTACTGCAGGATAACTGCAGGACGCTAACGGGCGCCGTCTGGTGCAGGTGGTATGTTCGCGCAACTAGAGCGCTGAATTGATCAGAGTTGCGCACGTGCACGTTTCACTTCTCCCGGCGATAAAGGTGTATCCACACGACGGACCGGGCCACGGACCGATTGATCACGTGATGCGCGGCCCGCGGGCCGCCCGGCTGCAATGAGCATCCACACGGCGGACCAAAAGAGCAGACGACAGAGTGAACGGGCCGGCCTAACCCTCGACCTCACAGCTCCGCCAAAAGCATGCAACGAGCTGCTTTGAGGCTATTTGTAAGGAGCCAAGATGGAGGTTGAACGAAAGAGACTTTTGGCCGCGGTGGCCGTGGCGTTGACTATTGACGACGAGGAGGACTTAAGTGAACCGAAAAGGGCATGCATCTATTGTCCCACAGAGCGGGGAATCGCTCCACGAGCGCGATGAAGTAAAAAGTTGCATCGTCGCACCATGCCGCCATCGTTGCACAACAAAAGGTTCGTCTTCTTCGTCTTCAACAGCTGGCGCCAAAAGAACACGACTTTGGATTTGGATTCCAATCTAAACAACAAAAGTCAGCTTGTTGCCAGAATTAGCACTTCAATTATACTAAAAACGCCGCGGTCCGCCGCCAAGGTCCGGGCGAGAAAAGCGTTTGGCATTTCTCAGAAGCGCGGGCCGCGGACCACCGGCGGACCTCGAAAAGTGGTGACGTAAGATCACGTGATGCGCGGCCCGCGGACCAAAACAGCAATTTGGTCCGTCGTGTGGATACACCTTAAGGTGTATCCACACGACGGACCGGGCCGCGGACCGATTGATCACGTGATGCGCGGCCCGCGGGCCGCCCGGCTGCAATGAGCATCCACACGGCGGACCAAAAGAGCAGACGACAGAGCGAACGGGCCGGTCTAACCCTCGACCTCACAGCTCGGCCAAACGCACGCAGCGAGCTGCTTTGAGGCTATTTGTAAGGAGCCAAGATGGAGGTTGAACGAAAGAGACGTTTGGCCGCGGTGGCCCTGGCGTTGACTCTTGAGAACGAGAAGGACTTAAGTGAAGCGAAAAAGGCACGGGGACATCTTTAGGTCCTACAGAGCGGGGAATTGCTCCACGAGCGCGATGAAGTAAAAAGTTCCATCGTCGCACAACGAAAGGTTCGTCTTCTTCGTCTTCCGCAGTTGGCGCCAAAAGAAAACGACTTTGGATTTGGATTCCAATCCAAACAACAAAAGTCAGCTTGTTGCCAGACTTAGCACTTCAATTATACTAAAAACGCCTCGGTCCGCCGCCAAGGTCCGGGCGAAAAAAGCGCTTGGCATTTCTCACAAGCGCGGGCCGCGGACCGCCGGCGGACCTCGAAAAGCGGTGACGTAAGATCACGTGATGCGCGGCCCGCGGACCAAAACAGCATTTTGGTCCGTCGTGTGGATACACCTTTAACGGGATGAATATTGCTGTTTGTTTATTGTGGGGTACCGAGATAAAGGGAAACATAGGTCTAGTAGATTGAAAGCCAAAAATTTATCAAACTCAAATTTTTACAGTAGGTGGCGCACGCTACCGCCTATTACAAAATATGCAGGCAGTCGTGAGTACAACTAATCCATCCACGTATTCACTTTTTCGATTTCGCTCAGTGATTTCCCTTGCGTGCTTCGGTTTCTTCTGCAATTTCGGTTGTTTTCCCCAGGTGATGTTTCAATAAGAGAAACTAGAATGCGCTTTAAACCTAACATTCCTGAGAAGTGAAGAAAGCAAGACGACAAACAAAGTGCGTCATGTATCATAACAGAAGGCGTGCGTCGTCGGGATTGTTGGAGTGGAGTATGTTTGACCACGACGGATCCCCCGACATCTGCGAGTTCGACGACCTCCCAAACTGTTCCCAGCGTTCGATCAACCAGCTAAGTCTTAATTCGTCCTGGCCCATCGACGACATCTGCACCAACAAAACCGTGGTCTTGATAAACGAGACTCCGTCGGCATCGCAAGAAATACAGACAGACGATCCGGGCTCAAACACGTCAGGTATTCCAGGAGCTGACAGCTGGGGTTCAGTCTTCAGTGGCGGCAGCTTGACAGCGTCTGCTAGCCACGCAGTAACACGCAGGAAACGAAAGATCAGAGGCGTGGACAATACGTGCGAAATTGACGATGTCAGCAACGACGAATCTGCGAGCCCGCCAGTAAGAAACGTCTTCGACCGCAGACGCTCCTTCACGATAGACGAAACGACAGACGACGAACTAACATCTACGCCAAGTCTAAGTCCTCGAAAGCAGCCGCTCACCACCGCGAGTGCGCAGTGCCAGCCAATGCCCCGCGCCGATAGCCCCCGTCAACAACCAGGCCCCAACCCAGACCCTCCATACTATCCAATGCGAGAAAGTGTACTCAAAAACGGCCTCCAAGAGAGCCTGATAAAAGCAGTTCAAAAGATGGACTCTGAGCTGGCCCTGTGGAACTGTTACAAAGCCAACGCCAACTTTCCCAAGAGACTTGTGTCTGGTGGCCCACCACCTCTAACCGCGAGGATTGTGTTCACAGAGGAACTCTACGGCTCGACATACTTCACCTGCCATCTCGTAGACGTGGAAAGTGGGGCCGACACCCCTGAAACTCTGTCGTTGGTGTTTTCTTCGGAAGTTTCGGAGAACGAAAAGTTCGGCAGGGACACTGTTCTGCGTGTTTACCCACCCTGGAAGGAGTATACGGTTCAGAGCGAGCCCAGTAGAATCCTTACAGCAATACAGTTTTACGAAGTATTGAACAAAGGCAATAGCAAAGTTAAGTAATTCTTATTTCAAACCCTTCATCGTTGCTCGAGGGTTCATTAAGTCGTCTAACAGAGCATACTGGAGCTTAGCAGTGGTCAGTCACACCTCCGACACACTAGTATGCTATTTACACACCACATATATAATTTGCTCAACCCCAATAAATATGTGGATCCTTTATAGGAGTGTCTGCTCTGTAAATTCACAAACAGTAAAATTGTGAAGGACAAGAACTGTGCCGGCTTGTGCATTTCCCAGAGTAAAATAACAGAAGTCTTGCCAGCAGCTGAGAACGGGGATGTGCAACTTTGCTATGTCTGAAAGAAACATTGTGTGCTCGTGGTTCAAGCTAAATCACAGCAATTCTTTTTAACTGAAACACGGTTACAACAGATCTACAATTGAGCACGGTGAGCGAGCCAAACTTAACGACGGAACAGTTGGAGTGCAGGCGTGCATACCCCATGGTCGACCAGTGTTATTCATCAGCAGATGAATGCCACTGGTCGACCATGGGGTAAGCACGCCTGCACTCTAACTGTTCCGTCGTTAAGTGTGGCTCGCTCACTGTGCTCAATTGTAAATCTGTTGTAACCGCTTTTCGGCCTAAAAGAATTGCTGTGATTTAGCTTGAACCACGACCACACAATGTTTCTTTCAGACATGGGCCCCAAAACCCTCTTCAGCTAGTACAGCAATATCCCGAAGATTATCCACCCCCATGTTTGGCTTGATTAGCTATTTTTTTTATATGCCAAAAGGTAGCCCACTTCCAGTAATCAGTGTTCGGATTAATGATGGCCTCGGCAGAAATGCCAAAAGGTAGCCCACTTCCAGTAATCAGTGTTCGGATTAATGATGGCCTCGGCAGAAATGCAGCTAGTTAGCTATGGAGGGGTATAAGCAAATGTTGCTCACTGTGAAGTATCGTTACCTTTGCTTCATTGACCTTTGCCACGATAACAAGTGTGGCAGGGACACATAACCTAAAAGTAGCATTTTTTTTTAACTTTTCTTGAATACACACCAAGTGTTGGCCCACTCCCAATTTTCACCCATTTGCATTGGTTTTTGGTTGGGCACTCTCGGGATGTTACGGTAGCTCATTTTGCACCCAAGTCGTATATTACTACTGCATGATGCACATTAAAAACCCATTTAGTGACGGTACTGCACTGACTACATTTCTCATCTACAACATAAACCAATGTCGCTGCACCTCAAAGGCCGGCCGGCCATATGCAGTATAAACATGAACGTCAACTTTGGTGTTGTTTTCTTTTTTGAAAAAAGATTACCTTTCTCCTGAGGCCCAAGGAACCAGCTCTCCTACAATTACAAGAAAGAGGCCAGGAAACATGTCACCCAACAACCATGAAAAGGCAACACGCTAGCTCAGCAGAAGGATCAAGTGCCATGGCTCTATCAAAAGGAGACAACAGGGATGGGCAGTATTTCAAATACTTTGTGTATTTGGCATTTGTATTTAATTACAAATTGGGCAATGTATTTGATGTATTTAAATACTAAAATGTGGGTATTTCAAATACAATTGTAATTAAATACAATTTTGTGGGCGAAAATACATCTCTCAAATTTATTGTCACTGTCCAGAGCAGGAAGAAAACTATGTTCTGCAGTGAATGCAGTCTCTCTCAATCAAGCACAAGCGTTTAGTGACTTTGTGATAACGGTGCCAGTCTAGGGCAAGTATAGTGACGAAATCGACGTTCACAGGCAGACTGGCTAAATAAGTGCCTCTGACAACTTATGATGCTTTCTAGCCTGATTTCCATCCATTTTTTCCCTGGAACATTCTAAATGCGCGAGTCGTCCCGATTTTCGTAACTGGTGCGAGTTGCAACAATAAAAAATCCTCTAGCTAGTGCTGCGCGTCTTGGTCGTCTTGGTTCTTTGTTCGTCTATAGCAAAATGTAATCGACAAAAAAAAAAGCTCCTTGAAGCTCTGTACTTTTTTCACCTATTACGTCAAGGCTGATTACATTTTTTGTGATTATATTTCTATTACGTTACTAGAGCCTCGCACACTAACTCCGGAGTGTGCGATGCAAAATCAGAATGATACCCAGAAACCCGTTGCAGGTGCCCTGAAGTCGCTGACGCAAATTTTGAGGAATGTATTTGGAAAAGTATTTGGAGGAGACCAAATACATTTGGTTGTATTTGTATCTTGTACTTAAATGTTTTTTTAAAAATGTAATTAGAGTTGTAATTAAATACATTTTTGACGAAGTATTTTGTATTTGTATTTTGATACATATTTGCATGCATTTTGCCCATCCCTGGGAGACAAATTCAGAGAGGTACACCTAGCTAGCTGCACAGGGTTATCGAGTGCCAGCTGGAACTTTTTTCAGCCTCTACAATTTAGTAACAATTCAAGGACGAACTCCAGCGGTACAACTGGCATGCTTAAAGTGATGCCACAGAAGTAGAATGTTTAGATGGTAATTAGTTCTAAACTTTTAATTCTTATGAATATTATGGCTCTTGAAATCTCGGTAGATGAGAAATTTTCTCCCCCAAGAGCTAGAAAATCGAAGTGTTGAAGTTACACCCTCCTGCAATATGAAAGACCCATTAGAGAATGCAATTTAACGTGGATCTGCCAAATAATTCGCTTTGACAAGGACATCATTTCTTAGTATGAAAAAATAAATTAACCTTTGTGCTTTCCCCTCCCTCAAAATAATGTATGTCTGGAATGTGTGGGCTTAACACCAACACATAAAATGAATAGGTGAATGGGTCTTCTATATAATACTGAAGAAGGGTGTACATATAACTTGAAACTCAAGAGACTGGATCTAAAGAGAAATGCAAACTGACATGAGCTAAGTTAGTACAAAGTGTTTATCAAACAATTCCTAAAATTTCTTGAGATTTCACTGAAAACACTGAAAGTCACTTGAACTCCTTGACAGACTCGCCGAGTTTGTCGACTTCTTAGCAGGTCCCTGTTTTCCAAACAACCCAACACTGACTACACCAAAATATATAAAGATACATCTTTATTAAAAAAAAAAAGATCCATCACTTCACATCAAATCCATGAAAACAAAAAAAAAACTGTGACTCCATAACATAAATAACATCCTGCCTTCTCCACCAGGCCAAAGTTGCTACAAAAACATGCGACATTGTTTTTCTTTCTTTTTTTTTTTTCACGTCCTTCAACACTGCATATATTATACACGTAGTAGTAGCATGTTTTCCAATATTATACAACATATATTATTGCCGACGCCACGGTTACGCTAATGGTCACCTGCGACACGGCTATGGGGGTAGGTGAAACAAACGGGAGTATTCGGGCTCGCAAGCTAATAGGCAACTGCTAATGCTAACCTCACGCTGAGTCCGCTTTGGAAAGACTAGACACGCGCAACTTCTCGGAAGGCCGGTACGGGCTCTACCGAGAGGCAAGCGACGGCAGAAAAGCAACCCAAGCTCACGATCCTGAAGCGGCCATTTTGAAAAGGTGGTTTGGGGTTTTAAACTTGGCAAGCATCGCGTACCTGGCAACTTTGCAAATTTTGCTCTGTGGGATACCGGCGGTGGCACAGAGATTACCTAACTTGTTGTGACTTGCGCTGTCGCGCATGGCGTCTGAGGCACCCGAAGGAGTCTTCTATATTCATCAGTGCCGTCAAGTTGCTCCTCATACGACAGGGTTTAGCAGGAAACAGTTTGTCGCCTTCTGCATCTAACAGCCCCATAATCAGATCTCGCCGTTTCAGGTACGTTTCCATTTTTCTACTCCTGTCAGTGCATACGGAGCCCTGTTGTCAAGAGTGCGACCGTTAAGGCACGTTCACACTCTTGCAACCGAGTACGACCGAGAGAGACCAAGTTGTTAAAACCTCCGAAAATTTCTTCGGACGAGAGAACATACTGGCACAGTGGTGCCATCTATGCGGTGACCCTGGAACTGCATTTCACAACAGTGAAGATTTTGCGGTATTTCCGAGGTCAAATGTGCGTAATACCTATAAGAAAGGCTCGTTTATAACGTTAACAAAAGTTTTTCGAGCCAAGAAAGAAAGGATAATGCGCGAGAGAAATAGAAAATATGCCGGACCGCCAAGTTTACACTGCTACCCAATAAATGGCGCCAGTCTGTCCTCTCGTTGTAAGAGGTTTCAAGGAACCCAGTTTTAAGAGGTCGCAAGAGTGTGAACGGGCCTTTAAGTGCGTCTGATAACACTGGCATTCCCCTCGGCTCCCCGTCGTTCGTGTAAATGATGGACTTCAAGGGGGTAGGGGCTGCTAATTCTGTTGATTGCCAACATCGCACACATCCCTCCACAAAAGCATTCTCCATGTAAGAATGCTTTTGTGGAGGGACCCTACACAAATCTCTGCTAACAGCAAAGATGTGTGTAGGGTGTGCACAGCGGATCTTACGCTGTAAAACGAGCCCTCAAAATCGGTGCCAGCACATCGAAAGCTCAAACTTTTACCGAATGTGCATTGAGGTGGTGCATTTTACCTTCGGAAATTTCAATGCATAGTTCCCTTCCTGTAAAAAAGTTAGACCAACAAACTTGAGTCAATGGTGGGCGCATTTGCAGACGACAGAGTTGGCGATGAGTGCAACTTGTGGCGCCATCTCCCGATTGGCGGGGCTAGCAGACAACAAACCGAGTCGTCTGCTCACTGCACCTAGAAGGAGATGGCACCAGAAGGTACATTCATCACCAAATAGGTTGTCTGCAAACATGCCCGCCATTGACTTTAGTAAGTTCGTTGGTTTAATTTCTTTACAAGAGAAAGACTATACCTAGAAATTTGACAAAGTAAAATGCACCACCTCAACGCACATTAAATGAGAGTTTGAGCTTGACATGTGCAGGCAGCAATTTTTACGGCTCGTTTTAGAGTGTGACATCCACTTTGCACACCCTCTATAGGTACAGTGCGCCTCAAACTTAACGCCGCTACAGCATTTGCGATTTCTGACAGTCCCTGCGGCAGCCGAATAAACCATCTCAAGAATATTTGGGTTCCCGATTTCTGTGCCACCCTGAGAAGGCATCCCAAACCTTTTGGTGCCAAATTTAACAGTAAGTAGCCGACACAAGCTCAATGTTTGGGAACCCAGAGGCGGCATTAAGTTTGGGGTGCACTCTACCTCTATAACTCTGAGTTTAAGAAAACAAAGCTTACAGTCCCAATGTCGTTTTTCTATTGGAGCGTACAATTACCGTCTTTCATACCCGAACGGCTACGTGTGTAAGGAGCACATATTAGCCAAGTCACGTCGTCTCGGCAGGTTCCATGTCTACTTCATAGACGACAAAACCGTATGTAACCTTTTCAAAATGGCCGCAGTGGAATCCGAGCGTCAAAAAGTGGCAACGGGCTCAGCTAGCACATCAAGCTGAACAAGCATGAGTCAACTGTAAGATAGTGCGTGCAACAGGTATACAAGCCAGTTAGTCCATTCAAGCAGAAAGGTCTGCCTACAACAGCACAATCAGAGAGCTAAACTAAAAACTTCTATCTCCGTACACGAGGCAGAAAACAATATCCATGAGTAGTTACATCGTAAAGTCAGAAAAGCCGGGGTATAAAAATTAAGGCTACTTCATAAACTCTCCCCTTTAACAGAATGGCTCTGAATGGGTACTGAAAGCATTGCTCGCTGCATGATAATTTAGGATTTGTTTGGAAGCAAGCTATTACGTACTAGCAGCAGTCAATTACTTCAACAAACTGTTCAAACAACATTGAAAAGGTTGGCTAGCTATAAGGCAGCAACCCACAAGTTGCATCAGTGCAGCTACAACATAGAAAAGAGCTACGTAAATATGCAACCATATCGTCCAAACAAACTTTTGTCTAAAGCATACACCAAGTGGCAAAGAGGTTGAACTAGGTAGCAAATATATTATATATTTGTCACATGCTTATGAAACATCTAGACAGGACCACTTTAAGTTGCCGCTTCACATATCTACATTACATGAAAAACAACTTCCAATCTGAGCCACAGGCTTAGTAAATGTAATGCCGTGCTCATTTTAACAAATCACTGCAAGATAACTCAAAGTGGTAAACCAGTATCATGCATCAAACAGGAGTAAAGAAGTGGAGAAAGTCCAGAGAAAAAAACATTTCCCTGAATGTGCCCCTTGCAGATCATATAGCCAAAGACAACAGGAATGTTCACAGTCAAATTTCGATGTAGCCAATAAAAAAGCCAAGCTCGAATCGTGCCAAAAGCTTTTTAGTATCGATTTCACAACATGAGCATCGGCCGAAACAAAGCCTCGTAAAGCGGAAAGATTTGTACAACCCCTCAAAAACCGCAGAGAAATGAGAAACCACTGGCTTGACTAGAAAAGGACATTAGGGTGGCGGGAACGAGTCTTTCTTTGCGTTTCACGAGACAGGGCATCAACAATGAGGAAACGACAACCACGACTGCTCAAAACGATAGATACAACTATACAACCGCTGCCTGCTGTGCCTGTCTACCCAGTAAGGGGATTGCGACGACCTGTCGAAAAGCCGTCCAATGTGAAGGAGACAACTGAACTGCATCCACGCCTGCCATCAGTTTCGATGACCACCCTCAAATAGTTAAACCCAGGGCAAGTCTGGACGTTAACAGCAGCTATCACGAAACCGACCCCAGAAGGGCGGGGTCAATAACAAACAGCGTGACAACAATGAAAGAAGCACGGCATCTTAGTTTGGCCTCGCAATCACGGGAGGACCCGAGTTGACCCGTGACCTCGCTGGAATGGGAGGCGGCCTCATCTCCGGAGCATGCATGCAGACGGGGGCCATCACCTTGGGCCTCGACGGAATGGGCGGGGCCTGCGGTGCAAGGGGTGGAGCTTCCGTCGCAGGAGGCAGAGCCTGGGGAAATGGGGGCAGAGCCTCTGTTGGGGGAGGAGGTTGGGGATGCGGAGGTGGGACATGGGGTTGTGCCGGTAAGGGCGGAGCTTGTGAAAAAGAAGGAGGAGCAGCTGGGGGAGCAGGCTGAGCAGGCAGAGCTTGCACAGGAGGAGGTGGGACGTAAGGATGTGTGGGGAAGTTCTGTGGGAGAGAGGGTGGGGCTTGTGTTGGTGGAGGTGTGGCTTGGGCAGGAGTGGGTGTGGCCTCTACCGGAAGGGGAGGGGCTTGCAGCGGAGGAGGCGGGGCCGGCGGAAGTGTCTGCCATGGAGACGAGGGAGCCTCTTCCTCGGCGTCTTCGATACCGTTGGTGGGCTCCGGTGGGCTCTTCTCAAACGAGTCAACCCTAGGGGGTGGCAGCGGAGGAGGGGGCGTGTCCGGGGGCGGGGCACTCCCGTTTGATTCCTCCAACGCCGCAACAGAGGCGGGTGGCGGGGGCCTGATGGGCGGCGGCACCGGTCGAGGGGGCGGAACCCGTCGTGGCGGCAGCGAAGTCACTGCAGTCTGCAAGACCCAAATCTGAATCGGCACAAAGTTCGACTTTCACAATTGCATCCCATTCACAACACCAATTGTGGACCCATAAGTGGTTTCTCAACAGCACCACATCCCAAAGTTTCATAAACAGTACTTTCTAATGCATTTCTAAAAGAGCACTAAAGTCGGATTTTCAAGCAGTAGGGCCAGTAACAAAGTAAGAGAAACGTAGTAGGCATTCTAATCATTGAATTATCCCCTAATGTAACTACCGTAAAATCCCGAGAGGTGCCCACCCCCGATAGATAGCGCATCCCTATTTTTAGCTTGATATGCTATATGTAGAGCCCTGCGCAGATAACAATTTGATCATCCGCAGACCTCGTATCCGCATCCGATCCGCATCCACAATGTTATTAAGTAATTTTATCCGCATCCAATCCGCATCCGCAGACTTTGTATCCGTATCCAAACCGCATCCGCAAAATTCGGAACTGTATCCGACTCTCAATCCGTGCATTCATTTTACATGATAAAATCAAGCATTGATAAACCTTAAAAAAAAATCTGGATGGTATCCTATAAGTCGTTTGCTTACCTTTCTACAAAGAACTCTTCGTGCCAAAATACGGTGAAAGTCATTTTATCGTATTCTCGCACGTTGAACACTATTGGCTCGCACATGTTTCGCAATCGCACCGCGATTGCGAAAACATGTGCTTCGAGATCCGGGACCGCGAGAGGGGGACTCCCATGAAGGTGAATGATGGAAAGGCATCCGCCGATCCCGAAGGAGTGCTCATGTTCCACTGGATATCCGGAGGTGGAGCGACTCCGCTCGGATTACGTGCTCCATCTCAGACCTAGTCGACTGATCCCGGCGAACTCCAAAACAACCAGTGGAATTTTCCATTAACAAGTCAAATGCAAAAAGATTTGACTGTCTCATTGGCATTTCCCAAAGGCGTTCTAAGTGCATAGCTTTTATAGGGCCTCTTTGCACTTCTCCTTTGGCATATACAGGGAGTTTCCGAAACGAGAACTGTATTTTTCAGCCCGGGTAAATAAAATATGCATCGCAGGAAGCTCAAACTCCATGAGAATGTGACGCTGGCAGTTCGAATAGAACGCAAAAGTTCGACATTATGATGTTACCTTAATCAAAAAATAACTGAGAAAAATTAAATTTCGCTACGAGCCAATGTCCGCTTAAGCCTAGTATCGTTAAAACAGGTGCAGGAGCATGTAGCATCTATTTCAGTAAAGGAAACTTATCAGCAAGAATGAGAATAATGTTTCTTTCTTGCTGACAAAGTTTTTTTTCCACTGAAATAGGTACTACAGTCACCCGCAGTGTCATTTCTTGTTTTTTACAATATTAGGCTTAGCTGGACTTTGGCTCATGAAGAAATTTAGTTTTTCCTCAATTATCTTTTAATCCAGGTGACGTCATGTTCTCAAGCTTTTGCGTTCTACCACAAACACTAGCATCCCATTCTCATGAAGTTTGAGCTTTCTGCGATACTTACTTCATTTACCCGAGCCAAAAAACATGGTTTCCGTTTCTCGCATGTAGTCCCCATGACACTCCATGTCATGGGGGCTACATGCCACGGACACAAAATTCCCAAGGCTGGCCCTCTAAATGCTATGCATTTAAAACTTTCACTCGTCCAATGCGCCAAGGTTATATTATGAGTCACAGACCTGCTCTTGTGTGGCGGGTTTAACCTCCGGCTCCGGCGGAGGGGGAGGTCTCTGAGGGGGCGGAGGCCTCTGAGGGGGAGGCGGCCTCTGGGGAGGCGGCGGCCTGCTGGGCGGGTTCGCCGTGGGCGTGGCTCTCCCCGGCACGGGAGGGGGAGGAGCCAGCACCCCGTCGGCCAATCCTGTCTCGCTGGCGAACGACGGGCTGCTTCGGCCTGACGACGACTGAGACTGGCAGTCATAGTTGTTCGACCAGTCTGAATGAAGAGACAAAAACGTAATGTTAGGTCCTCTGGGAAAAATAGGTCGGACGTTTCTTGTTCCAAAAGTTGCGACGAAGGGCATTCAATGTTACCTGTGTGAATAGTGTCACGAATGACGAGTCACGAAACGATAAAAAACAAAGGGATAAACGCGGCAAACTTTCACCAAAACAAAAATACAATAACTGGTGGCATGGGTGTTGGCGTAACTGCAGGATCAAGAGCCGGCGTAAAACTGACTCGATGCACCATGCTACGGCCGCTTTTATACCTGCTCCATGTAAAGTAATGTTTAAAACCAGAACACACATTAAAGGGCAACTCCGCTTAATTTCAAAATTTTTGAGATAGTGGCCGATTTTGCTTTTTGAAGCACTCAAAAACAATCCCCAATCTTTTGCTTCGCGAAAAATAAAATATTTTTCGTGTAATTTTACTCTAGCCATGATCACAAACCGAAACCGAAACGGTGGCAAAGCCGGGCAACATTGTATATTCGGCATCACTAAGCATGTACACCCACGTGATATACAAGGGGAAGAAGGAGCTCCCCTCTTATCAGGATCCTCCTTTGTGCCTCCTGGATTAGCACAGGCGTCGCTATTCTCCTCCCAGAAGATTATAGAAGATTAACCTGTCACTCAAAATTCTTACAAAAGCAGCTTCCCTCTCCTCCTTTTACTTGGTGTTCAAAAGTATGCGATGTAACACAAGCCGGCGCTCAACGAGGCGATGGGCCTATCAGTAGTATCAATAGTCGAGCGCCGGGCCGGCCGAGCGCGTCACTCACGTCTTTCACGGCGCTGGCGCCACCCGTGCTCTCCCCGGAAAAGAAAAGAAAATTGAAAAACAAAAAGAAGCTGTACATGCTTGATGACGTCGCGGACGTGCCGGGAGAAGGAATTTGGAGGAAGCGGAAATGCAGCCGGGCAGTGTTGTCTGGCCCGCACGTCTCATCCAAAACCAGCGGATTCGTGCTTGTCAAACTTTGACAGTGATTTTAATGAACTTCTAGGCGGAATTCCGTCACAATATTTGCCATGGGGGTTTTGTAGATGATAACAAAGAGAACTGTATAGTTTTGCACTACTGGAAAAGAAGCGGAGTTGCCCTTTAACTAACAAGAATGACCTGTAACATTACGGGGGGGGGGGGGGGGGGGGGAACAAGCAGGAAAGCGTATTCTGGTGGGACTCAAACTGCATGCTTCTGTGTGGGAGCCGCTTGCACTGGCAACCCAGCCACGCTTGCGGCAATATTACTACTAGTTTATGAAAATAAAATTTGAGAGAAAATGAATACTGTAATATTCTAAGTCATTGCTCATCCTTGGGACATCACCCACCCCACTCTTTGGGCGAATATTGATTTCCAAAAAAACACCAAGGATCGCCCACCCCTACAAATACCCCAAATGCAAACTCTGCGATCCACAAACGTCAATCCCACCCGAATGACATGGCCGCGGACTTTGCAGTTGGGGGACGTCCGTGACAAAGTAAAACGAAGGCGGGAAAGACGCTTCACGTTGTTTACACACTTTTTCCCAGATTTATGCGACCTCGAAGTCAAAGTACACGCATGCAAAAGAAAAACGATGGAGGTAACAAAATAAAACTTCGTTTTGCTTACAAAAAAAGTTTGTTCAGACAAAAAGAAAAAAGAAAGCCGGAAAGATAACACCAGCAGATACCCATTCACGGATCACGAGATCAGCAAACACTACATATCCTGGAATGTAACCGCGAAGTGTAAGGTCAATGATGTAAGGTCAAAGTCCGTCTCCACCGAAATACGGCCACCACAAACCCATTCCTTCTCTTGAAATGTGGCGACCGCGGTTGGTAAGGTTGTGCAATGTTTGAGACATAGCCAACGGATAAATAAAGATTCGCTGGAACGCCGCACACAGACATTTGTAAAGCGTCCCATTTTGAGCTCAGTGTTCACGGTGTCGTCCATGCCACACAGTAACGCCGCCTCATCCTGCGTTGATAGCATGCCGCGCACGGACGCATGCATGTATGCACCAAACAAGGAAGTTGCAGAAGAGCTCTTGTGACTGACAAGGCGCCAACTTGGTGGACTTTCCCACTTCCCCAGCATCGCTCTTTGTCGCTTCTTTCACCCATTACAGCTGGTCGATTTTTGTATTTTCTTGTTGACGATAATCCCTGAGGAAGGGAAACAAAGGGGACAAAGGACAAACACAAATCTCCAAACACAGCAAGGCGACTGGTGCACGACTGGAAAAATCCAGCTCGCTAGCCCCTTTGCGTTAAATTAAATGCATTATCATTTTGTTGGGTCTTCTTTTTTGTTTTTTTTTTATTGAAGAGAACATAGCAGTGCTAAAAAATGTATTTTCACAAAACAAACGTTCATGTTATGCCGATCCGCGGTTCATCGCATATATGCAAGCAATGGACTCTGCAATAGTAAAACATTCTTTCATGAGTATTTCTTGCACAAAACAATGAAACTAATTCGAGCTTATAGTTTAAGGTATCTCTTGTGCAGCCACGCTAGGTATGTACAGAAAAATGCATGCTTTTGAGCTTCTTCTAAACTTTTTACAGCGGAGCTGTTAAGGGCTAGTTTTCTCCAGTTTCGTGTCCGTGGGACAAATAAATCTCGACACAACCCTCTAAACAGCTACCGCCATCTATGAGCGATGGCGGCACATAGTACCAGCTCCGCTGCTCTTCCTTCTTCATCTAGGTGGAAAGGCCGAAAGTTTTGTGCTTGCCCGCCAAGACATAGCCCACCCCACTTTTTTTATAAATTTCAGGTGGCAAGGGAGGTGGGCAATGACTCTAGATATTACAGTATACAGACTTTCTTAAACATAATCACCACTGGATTACAACACCAATCCACATTTGACTTCAAATAACTAAATTCCTGGAAAGAAATTATCCAATGCACACAGCTATTTCTCATGGTTTACCTTTTTGGCGTACAAAGAGAGCTTGCACTATTGGCAGCGTGAGTGAACTACAGGGGACACTTCTCTAGCTATCATCATCATCGTTTGTGACGTCACCAATAGGGCAGACTGGGACAGACTGCGCAGATCTTGGATCCTTCGGCTCATTGGCTCGCTTCATGCGCTGTTTGAGTCATGTGCGGCAAAGCCTGCTTTACGAGTTGTGTTTATTTGGTGAAGTTATATTAGTAGTAGGACATTTTACCAAAGATGAAGCTATGGCACGGGTGGTCCTGCTAACAAACACTTCTGGTGCGCAGGTGTCGAAGCGCCGGGATGGTGGTGTGCTGTTCTCTGCCCAGTACAAAAAGCTGGATGATGAAACTAGAATATTCAACAGATTACCCCCACTACAACATCTACCGCGGCAAATTAGGGTGTATTTTTTTATTATGATTCGGACAAAATAAAACTGAGAAGGGAATGTCTCATCAAATTGAAAATAGGAGAGCAAAATTTGAGAGCCTCCTGCGTGTGTAGTAAGCACATAAGTGAAAGTGACTCCGTGTATCCTGTTGCCTCCAATGGGTTCTGTGAGTGCTGGTGTCTTTTAGTTCCAAGTTGATTCCTTTTTGAATTTTGTAAACCTGCAAACAAACATTTCGCCCAAAATAACTACACAGGAAGAAGCAGTGGCTGGCTTCTGGAGTCGTTTAGTTTAAATTCCTGCTTATTCACCCGGTCGACGCAAATTATGTGAGACCCCCTTGCCATTGAAGTCTTAAAGCTAGTAAGTCGGTGACAATTTAGCATCCAAAAAGATAATGTATACACCTGCTATGAATTTCAATTGTTTGTATGTTTCATTTTGCAAACCCAAATGCGCATAATGCGTGATGCAATTCTCAGCGAGCGATTTTAAATTTGTAAACTATTCTTAGCAAAAAATGGAGAGAGCAAATTAATCAATTGCCTGAATTTGCCGTGCCATGTCCGACAATTTAAGAATGTATAAAAAATATCTGTTTTTCTTTTCGAGCAGAAGTTGCGATGTAACAAACTTCTTTGCCACGTATGCTACGCAGGAGGAGCTAAGCGTCAGTTGCTGACGAGAATTTGCTCGCCAGCGACTGTCGAGTCACACTTGGATAGAAGTGTCCGTATGGGCAAGCTCAATGTAGCTAAAAACAAGTGTGCGGTGCTTTGCAACCCCGCTGTCCACACGTGCACAACTAAAAAGACAGCATGTAATTTACTCCAGTGAAAGCAAAACCTTTTTCTACAGCAACCTTCACAGATCCAGAAAGTTGTGAATAGTCCTTACGCTTGCCGCACAAGCTGTAATGTGAAGCTTCAGGCTAGTTTTTTAGCATTTGAAAGTTTTTTTTTAACACAAAAAGCAACTTCGATCCAGGCGCTGTTATTCATTAGAAAGATCACTCACAAAACTGTCACACAAAAAAGCCACTCTGTGCTTCGAAATAGCGCATCATCTGCTCGCATCTTACCAGCTACGTCACAGGAGGGCGCCAGCGAGGTGGTGCCACCAAAACATCTCGTCGCCAATAGTCACTAGTGATGGGCCGAATTTTTGCCAAACCTTGGGATTCAGCAAAACTGAAGTTTTACCGAACTTTACAAAAGATTCGGCAAAAATACACTGGTGCCAGACAAAGTTAATATTTTGTTTTTTCAGGCGAAAAGAGTTTTTAGCTGTTTTTTTTAATGCATATTCACAGTTATCTTTAAATAAGGTGAAATTCTACAAGATAATTGTATCGGCGTAATTTTTGTGTGAGTACTGGAAATTTTAGTGACTTTTTGCAGAAGTGACGTGACAACGAGGCTGGTAGTAGCAGGCACAGTCACAATACGCGAGTTTCAGTTTCGAGGCCTCATTAGAGCATGCCTGCAAGTACATTGATGAAATAGAGGCAGTAACACTGCATTCTTACTTTCTCTGCGAGTCACCGTTTCGTGTGCGAAAATGAATACGACGGCTGCTGAGCCTTCACTAAAAGAGATAACAATATTATAGTAAATATGCATGTTTTTCGACTTGAGT